ATGCATCTGATGTGGTTGGAGAGGTGACTCTGTGAGATACAGATTTAGTAAAATTAATCCTATTCTTATAAACCCATCTGCACAACCAGGGAATACAAACCTCGAGGAGACACAGCAGGGGAGGAGGCTGGCTCTGAACTCCCACACACTTGAGTGTGAAGCCGCACGTCACATCCTGGGCAGGGTATTTGTACTATACATTTTCATCTGTAAAGTGGGAAAGAGAAGAACACTCACCTTATAGAATTGTTCTAAAGCTTAACTTGAGATAATACATGAAAAAGCTGGGCACAGTGCCTGGTCCATAGTTAACACTCAGCAAGTGGTGGCCTGTATTATAGGCCAAGTTGGAGAGTGAAATTCTTTTTCTTTCTTTTTTTTGAGGAAGACTGGCCCTGAGCTAACATCCGTGCCCATCTTCCTCTTCTTTATATGTGGGACGCCAACCACAACATGGCTTGACAAGTGGCGCATAGGTCTGCACCTGGAATCCGAACCAGCAAACCCTGGGCCGCCACGGTGGAATGTGCGAACTGAACCGCTGCACCACCGGGCCGGTCCTGAGAGTAAAATTCTTAACTGCTCTTTACTGAGTTTTTCTCTGTACGTTCTTTAGAGAATTGGTCATTTAGAACAATACCAATAGCATTCATATAGTGCATTAAAATTCATAAAGTGCTTTCATTTACCTTCTTTGATCAACATAATAATCTGGGTGGTAAATAAGGATGAGAAAATTGAGGTTGAGAAATGGTAAATTTTCACGCAAGGTTATTCAGCTCATAGAGCTCACAGATGGAATCCATCTCCTGGCTGGATTATAATCATGCTCCAGATGTTCCAGTCGGAAGTTTAGAGAGCGATGCCCCAGAAATGCACACATTGATTTTTCCTTCTAAATCCCCATAGAAGAGTATGAAGTATAAGACCAGACAACCCGGGCTGCCATGCCGACCGTCCCCGAGAAGGTTGGAGGCTCAAGGAGGTCATCTCTGGAGCGTCACTTTCTGCATCGTCAGGGACCACATACACGAGTTGTAAAAGGTAGTCCTATTTCGTTTAGCACAGTCTTAGCCTACCCAGTGGTATGGCTTACAGCAACTTTTAACTCCTTGAAGTTAAATTTCCCAAAGAAAATTTTGAGGTTTCATATATAAAGAAAGGTAAATGTTATTAACGACACAAGTCAGCAAACACTTGGAATGAGTAGTTTTTCTGGCTCGGCGTCCTTGCTAAACTGTGTGTTTACCACAGTGATTGCACTTCTTGCCACTTTAGGTTGGAGTTAGGGCCAATTAAAGACTCACATTTTAATAGAAGATTTCCTTTCCTTCTTGAATTGCTGATAGAGTTTGTCTGCATGTGTGTGTGTGTGCATGTCCCCTCCACATCTCCGAATTCCAACCTCCCTGCAAGTGGAAGCACCAGTCCAGCCAATGCTGTCTCACCTCCTTGATCCACCAGAGAGGGTAGGAATCTTTCCTTTCTACCAAGGCCTGTAGTTTCCTGGTAGAACGACACTCATGGTGCCTAATTGCCAGCTCCAGGCATCAGTATGCACTGTATTTTTAGATAATAATTGTCACAACAGCCAACTTGTATTGAGTACTTACTTAGTAGAAGCAGTGTCTTAAGCACCTTGGTCTGAATAGCTCATTTAACCTTCAAAGCACTCCATTAAGTAGACAATAATCTGTAAATGGAAATGGAAATGTTTTCACCTCCCACCAGTATTTTAAAGGGCTTTGACCCTTACTACATCCTTTTGGGGTGGTGGATAGGGGAGCGATGAGTAGAACCTTGGATGTAGTAGATGCAGGATAAGCGTTAAGTGACAAATTCCTCAGCCGAAGAAAACTTTCCCCATCTTCACCATCCTTTTTCCTCTACAGCTTTTTATTTAAAAAATTTTTAAATATACAGAAAAGTGGGAAAAATAGTACAAGAAGATCTAAATTTTAAGCTTAACAATTGCTAATTATGTACACACACACACACACACACACACACACATATGGTTTTTGCTGAATCATTTGAAAGTTAAGTTGCTGATATCTTGCCATTTCATCCCCCAGTACTGTAGCACGCATCTCATTAAAATAAGGGCAACCTCTTACATCACCACAATGCTGTTATCACACCTAAGAAAATCAACAACAAAATGGAATATGGCCTTTCTTTTCTCTCCATCCCTATTTAACCAATAAAAAGGCATTAGAGAAACAATTTTGAATTTGCATTCTAACAATCTAGTATTCTGTACCCTTTGCTTATCTGTAAATATTGTAGTTAGTCTTTCTTCTTATTTGGAAAGCATTTGCTACTTTGATGGGGAGAGACACTATTTTTTAATACTTTGAAAACTGGAATTCACTCTCTTAATAAGGCAATTATGGATATGCCCTTGGTATGACTGGGAGAATTAAGACTCAAAGTTATAGGTAAATAGTTTTGGCCTCTATGGATTAGAACTCTGGATTTTCTCCAAAAAAAGTCCAGTTAAATTTAGGGCTAATCAGTAATTCACAGATGCAACCTCTAACCAAGGGATTTAACAGTTTAATGAACAAGAAACCATACACAGGTCCAAAATATAACAGTTAATAGATGGGACTTCAAGCTCCATTTTCAAGACTGTGCACCAGCCAAGGATCCAATTACATCAGTGACTTAGTGACAGATTATGGCTTTCTGTTTCCATTTATGAAAGAAATCACTGTTTTTGCTGACCACAGGAAAATGGAACTTTAAAAATCTTGGAAAAATAACATGTAAACTTTGCTTCATATGTATTTCCCCCAAGCCACCTGGTGCTTCAAGATTTCTCCTGTTGATATAGTTTCCCAATGCCATTGATTTTCCTCCAAGTATTTGATTATACTTGATTAAGTTGCCTCACAATTTTACTATGAATGACAGAACATTTTTTGTTACTTTGACAATAAGGATTAATGTTAGCTTCTCTCTGACAGAGGTAATATTTGCTTCTTTAGTTTTCGGTTTGGAACTATGTTTTGTCATTCCTATTTCTTTGGATAGAGGAAAATGTTATGTAATAAATATCTTATACAAGAATATCTTAATAACCAAGAAATGTTCAATAATCATATTGTGTTAACATTGGAGGAAGAATTTTATTTTTGCTTTCATGGGGAGACTGAACTACTAACAATAGTGGAAGTGTTCCAAAAGGAGATAGTGGTCTTTGCTAAGATGTTACCGTAAGATGTGAACGGTAGGGAACAGCAACTGGATTTTAAGTGTTCTTAAAATATGTGATATGAAACTAGGCTGTTAGGGGTTGAATTGTGTCCCCCTGAAAAGAAATGTTGAAATCCTAAGCCCCAGTACCTCAAAATGTGATATTTTTTGGAAATAGGGTGTTTGCAGAGGCAATCAAATTAAAATTAGGTCATTAGGGTAGACTCTAATAAAATATAACTGGTGTCCTTATAAAAAGAAGAAATTCGGACACAGAGACACACACACACAGAGATGAAGGCAGAGCTCGGGTGACGCTTCTGCAAGCCAAGGAATGTGAAAGATTGCCAGGAAACCGTCAGAAGCTAGGAGAGAGGCATGGAACTGATGTTCTCTCACAGCCCTCGGAAGGACGCACCCCTGCCAACCTCTTGATCTCAGACTTGTGGTCTCCATAACTGTGAGAAAATAAATGCCTATTGTTTAAGCTGCCCAATGGGACTGCATGACTACAGCCCTAGGACACTAACCCCTGGGCCAAGTTCTTGAGCTGATGCCTGAGGGTATGAGGTGTGATGTTTCCTTGGTGACTAGAGTACAACTAATGTTAGGATAAAATTTCCTTCAGGGAACTAAATAGTGATCCATATATTTACTTAAGGAGGCTTTTTCCTTGAGTTCCTTTGGAGTTAAATTGATTGGCTATTTTATTTCAAAGTGAGTCATGTGGATATCCCATGAAAATTTAATTAGAGAACACAAGTGATCAGCCACTGACCACTGAAACATCAGCAATAATGACATCTTTCTCCTTTGGGTGATGAAGTGGAGTATTTTTGGTTTTCTCCACATCTTTTCATCTCAAAAACATTCCTGAACCATAGTATAATCCCTGCCGTGATCATGTGGTGTGGGGTGAAGCTGATTATGAATTCCAGCTAGCTCTAGGGGATGCTAATAAGAGTTCTCCATTTCTCTAGTCATTGGGATTGGTTCAGGGATGAGCATATGACCCAAGCTACACCAATCAGAGTGTTCCCTGGGAACTCGCCAGCATAGATCAAGAAAAATGCTCTTTTTATCAGGCATTAGAAGCCCTAAGGTCAGTGCAGACTTCTGTTTTAGGATGCGAGCCTTACTGAAAATGGTGAAGCCAAGATAGGGCAGGAGAGACAGGATCGGTCAGAATTCTTACTGCCTGATCAAACTCTACCTGGAATCAGAAATATTCTCTAGACTTTCCACTATATGAGCCAATAATTTCTCTTTTGTGCTTTAAGCCAGTTTGAGTTGGGTATTTGACACCTGAAATAAAGTCTCTTAATGCATCTTCAAAAAGTAATCTTTACTCAGATTTTGCTCCCTCACGGCCTCTGGAAGTCTTGGATTGTTCCTGTGCTAGAATTTTCTGGAGCACAGTGGGCCCCCAGTAAGAGGTGATTGCACTTTTTATCCTACATTGTCAGAATAAAATTGATGTCCAAGTTAAACTGAATGACACTGTGATGGTTTTCCTTACGATGAGAGATGATCACAGTCACTATTTACCAATGTCATTGTGGCGGGTGGGGTTTTCAACAACTGCTGCCTGTATTCACATATGCCACCCCACTGCCTCTTATTATAATGCAATTGTCTATCTTCCCCCTGGCAGGTGATGTCTGTGTTTCCTCCTCATAGGCAGGGGTGAGGCTTGGGATTGCTCCAACCAAGACAAAATGGTGGAAGTGACACTGTGACTTCCAAGCTAGGTCATAAAGGGGACCTGGCTTCCACATGGGCTCTCTCAGATGTTTGCCCTCGGAACCCAGTCACCATTCTGTGAGGAAGGCCATACAAGGAGAGGCCTGTGTGGGGAGGAGCTGGGCCCCCAGCCTCCTGCCAGCATCAGCCACCAGACATGTGAGTGAACAAGGCTTCAGATTGTTCCATCCCCCAGCCTCCAAGACCCCAGACATTGTGTAGCAGACAAGAACTGTGGCCACTGTGCCTTGTCCAATTCTTGACTCCCTGAATACATGAGCATAACAGATGGTTGTTTTTCACTATTAAGTTTTAGGGTAATTTATTACGCAGCCATAGTGAGCTCATTTGACATGTGTCAGAATTCCCTTCCCTGTTTTTGGTCAGGGTGGGCCTCAAGAGAGATCCTCCTGGGAGACCTGGAGGGCGGAGGTGAGCGGCAGCCATTTGTAGCTCACAGGTGTTGTCGCTGGTCTGCTGGCTCATTGGCAGGGGGCGGCCACCAGGCCTGCATCTGCTCTTCTGGGCTGGTGTGTGTTTCACTCCATGAGGAAGGGCCAGACTTCTTCAGGTCACCTGTATCATTGAGGTTAGAGGCAATAAGAACCGACGCATGAGCACATGATGGGATCCATTTGTGCTGTGGGTACTGGCTTGTCCTTGCCCCCTTCCAGTTCATAACCATCTTTTCTTCCTGACCACCTGCCCTGCAGATTTCAAGCTCCAGCATCAGACTCTGAGACAACAGCTGTACAGAAGCTGCTTAACCAGTTCCCACAACTGTGTAAGTTCAAATCCTTGTCTATAATATAAAATATATTCCATAAAATGCATAATATAACACAATTATATAACATAAGAATATATAATACATAATATAAAGTGTATAATATATGATATGTGACATGGTAAGTGATATATAATATGTAACATATACACTCGCACACAGGTACATACACACGTGTACGTATATACATTGCCTGGGGTCTGCTTCCTTGATTGAACCCTGATTGATACACATAGCACTCAATAGCTGGGTTTTCTTCTATTTCATTTTATCTCCCTCCCGTTTGTCACCCAACGGCGTGCAGCCACTTGCCTCCGATGATCGCTCACAGCATCCTGCACCTGCTCCCTGTTTACATTAGCATTGCCGCAGTCCTCACCGATTTGCAAAGCTGAATACATCTTGACGATGTAAATAACCGTTGAATGCAAGCTGTGTCTAAGAAGAACTTCCCCAAGTACATAAGAATAGATTGATATCCCTATTGAACCTGGCAAATATTCACATTAAGAAACAGGCTCGCTTCTTTCTCCTCATTCCTTGGATGACTCTTCATCCAACTTTTTAGGCCAAGATGTCTTAGTCTGCTCAGGCCGCCATGACAAAATGTCATAGAGTGGGGGGCTTAAACAACAGACATTTATTGCTCCCAGTTCCGGAGGCTGGAAGTCCAAGATCAGGGTGCCTGCGTGGTCAGTTCCTAGTGAGAGCCCTCTTCCTGGCTTGCGGACTGCCGCCTTCGTGCTGTGTCCTCACATGGCGGAGAGAGGGGCTCTGATCTCCGCATCTTCTTGTAAGAACACTCACCCCATCGTGGGGGGCCCCAACTTCATGACCTCATCTAAATTTAACTACCTCCCAAAGGCCCCGCCTCCAAATACAGTCACATTGGGTGTTAGGGCTTTATCATATGAATTTTGGGGGAACACAAACATTCAGTCCATGACGTAAGATAAGAAACAAATCTGTGAGGACTTCTGATGAAGGATTTACATGTTTACTCAGGGCTGAGTGTGTTGGGAATTTGACCACTGAAAGGTGCACTGCACACTGCACATGTACTGGGAGGGGCAGACGTGAGGGCGATGACCCACAGCTCCTCCGCAGTCCCTGAGGCTGATGTGAGTGGCCCCTCCATCGGTAGTATCTACTTTGCACATAATGGGGACACCATCATATGCTAAGTGAGAAACTTCCTCACCAAGGAGGAGGCCGAGGAAGCCAGGGACACCAGTGGACAGCATACTGATGATTCAGAGTAAAATATGGCAGCCCTTTAAAGAATGACAACCATATTCTCTGCTAGTGGAGGTGCCCTCAAAGAGAGATGTCCTTACACAACCCAATATATTATATCCTTTGTCCCAGATGTAGCACATCCCAAGATGTAGCTCTTAGATGTAGCTCTGAGAATATAAACCAAGTAGGTAGACTTACTCTTTAGGTGCAGGAAAGGCCAGGGAGGGCACCTAAGCACTGACACATTTGGAAACATTGCATATGACACACGTCTGCCTGGATTCCAATGGCATGTCTTCCTGCTAGAACTGACCACACCCATGATGGCGTTACACAACTCTCTGGCAACAGTTGGATGCACCAGGTGTGGACACAAGACCTAAGCTGGGCCAATAAGGTTCTTTTTTCTCGGAGTTTTGATTCTCACCAAGAGATATTCAATCTATGTGTGTTACCAGAATGGTGTTATGGACTGAATTGTGTCCCTCCCTTCCCCTCCCCAATTCCTACGTTGAAGCCCTAACCCCCAATGTGACTGTGTTTGGAGACAGGGCCTTTAAGGAGGTAATGAAGGTTAAATGAGGTCATAGCGATGCAGTCCTAATCCGATAGTACTGGTGTCCTTACAAGGAAGGGAAGAGATGCCTGACATTGTAACAGGACCCGGATTCTGTCTCCATTTCTTAACTCTATTTCCTCTGGGTTGGTGCAGTCTCAGATTATGGTGTCAAGGAAGCTGCAGCAGCTCCAGTTTATAACTCCGAAGTCCGAGTCCATGGGGAAGAGAGCATCCTTCCCTCTCTGAAGACTCAGTGTGTGTCATTGCATCTCACTGGCTCTGCTTGTATCATGTGCTTGTAGCTGAGCCAATCCCTGTGGCTGAGGAAAATGTGATACTCTGACTGCGGCTCACCTGAAGCCAGGTGCGGAATCAAGGATTTAGAAAAAGAGGGAAAGTGGATGCAAGAGACAGTCCCAAGCTACCACATATCCTCTCCCCTGGAGCTGTGGTCATGTTCCATCACGCAGGCAGAGAGGCAGAGGAAGCTCTGATGGAAGGAGAGGAAAGACTGCCCCAGCCACGCAGAGAGGAAGGGGGACAGAGAAGAGAGGGCCACCTCCTGGGTTCCTATGGTTTCCCAGGGCCCGCTTCCATCTCTTGTTGAGGCTGGATGCAAACGTGTTCTTTCATAGGGTCTATGAGATCCCTCTATGGCTTGATAGTATGTTCCTTTTTTTTTCTTATATTGTTTCCTCTCAAGGTAGCTTGCACTGTGCCGTGGACTGAATACTTGCCCCTCCAAAATTCATATTGAAATCCTGACCTCGAAGGAGATGGTATTAGGAGGTGGGGCTTTGGGAGGTGACTAGGTCATGAGGGTGGAGCCCTCGGATACTTCAGAGAGATCCCCTGCCCTTCCCCCGCCACCACGTGAGGACACAGCGAGAAGAAGCAGGTCCTCACCGGATAGTGGATCTGCTGGCACCTTGACCTTGGACTTGCAGCCTCCAGCACTGTGAGAAGTAAATGTTTGTTCTTTACTAGCCAGCCAGTCTGTGGTATTTTGTTATAGCAGCAGGAAAGGACAAACACGCATTGGCTTATATTGCTTGTAGCCAATGACATTAATTAATCCAAAGAGCACATCAGAGCTCATACTCTGTGATGGGAAAACAAATGCGACATTCTCAGCCTCAGGAACAGTCTGTCTAATTTGGAAGGAAAAGCCACTAAACTGTGTGCTATAATCTGAGACAGAATACTGGACATTGGTTGTTTTGGTTGGTTGTTTTGGCCCTCAGTATCCTCTCCTTGCCTTGTGGAACCATTGCTCCATCATTCTCCAATGGTGCAATTTGGGTCAAGTTTACACAGTGATTCCATGTGTAAGCTAATCAGCACATTCCTGCTGGTACGAAGGTGAAAGGATGATGGGGCTGGAATCATGGCAGATATCTTGTGAGCACATGGGTCCTGAGCAAGGACTGAACATCAAGGAAGTAGAACTGAGAAATCCAGAGACAGAAGCTCCATCCCAGTGAAATCATTTGAGCATGGATCAAACCATACCTGAAGCAAGGGCTCCTACTGGATTCTTCAGTTTTGCAAGCAAATAAATTCTTTTTCCTTTTCTTAACTTGGTTTGAGTTAGGGTTCTTGTCACTTGCAACAGAAAGAATAACTAATATAGTTATGGGAAATTGGATTTGAGGAAAGGTGTCAGGCAATCTATAAGACAGAAAGACTGAGTTACAGAGACAGGTTCTAAAACTCCACTAGACATGCTTTCTCCTTTCTTTGAAATCATCAAACACTTTGCTTCCACAGTCAATATGGCATATATCACACATTGCCTTGAATTGCAATTACAGTTCTTGTATAGTGGGTACAAATTTCACAGCCATAAAACTCCGGTGTGCAGAAATGTAACTTTCTTTATTGTTTTGTAACTGAGTTTAGTTCACGAGCCCTCATTTCTGCTAATGGCGGAAATCTTGCCAATTCCAGGCAATTCTGTCAATCCTGGTTTAAACTTGGTATCTTTTTGGGGAAATACTTAGTTAATTCAGGATTCCTAATCCCTTCACCTCTATCCTTTTGCCCTACGGGGCAGTCTATGTTCTAGCAAGCATGGCAGGGGGCAGGCAAAATGTCTGGTCTGGACCATGATGGGGACCTCTGTGATCCATCCAACTGAGCTTTGCAGCCACTGCTGCTGGCTCTGTCCACACCCAGCTCTTAGCCCAGCTTCTGGAGACTCAGCCATGCCCTCCATCTGGTCCCCAGATTGGGCTTCCCACAAGGTCCCTCATCTCACAGCATAGTCGTCTTCCCACCATGCACACCAGCTCTCAACTCAGCTCCTGTCGACATCCTACTGCAACATTTGGGGATCCTTGAATTCTCCTCATCCTGCAGGAGTGAGGGAGACCAGAGGATGGGGACATCTCAGCACCTGGGCCTGTGCCCACTTCTGCTCTCATTTCAGTGCTACAACCACCTATGTGGCTCAGGACAGTCGGGGAGCGAGCTTCCACCCAGACTGCTCTGCTCTCGGCAGCAAAGCTATTGGGGAGTGGGAAATTTGATCTCGAGAGTGGGTTCAGGGACTCACCCTCCCCTCCCCTCACTTGCTGTCCTCTTTGTGAGCTCTACAACCTCCACCCAGGAAGGGCTCTCTCTTCACTGTGTGCTGTGGGTCGAGCCAATTGCTCTGGGTCCCCCCAGGCTGGCTCTTGATATGATTTGGAATAATGACAAAAACCCTTTCCTCTCTCACTTGTCTGGATCTTACAATGGGAAATCGTGGTTTCCAAGACCACGCCTCTGCTCTTGATTCCCAGAAGCTGGCCCCAGAGTCCCTGATGGAGAGTCACTGACTGTTCTGGCTGCCTCTTTGGGGCCAGCTCTTCCCCGAAGCCTCACAGTCTGTGTTGGTGGAGGAAGGGCTGCAGGGCAAAAAGGAAAACTGCAAAGCTGAATTGCTAGGAAGGAAAAGCACTTGGGACTCTGTCACAGCGTGATCTGGCTCAGTGAGCTTCGTGACTCCTCCTCCAGCCACGGAAAGCACTGGTCTGGCTCCTCGTTGGAGCATGGGCCGGTCACTGGCAGCTGCCTTTGCTGGCACTTTGACGCTCTTGCAAGGGCCAAATTCCACCCACTGTCCTGAGAAGGACAGCCAGCAGAAGGAACTTTCCGGGCTGTGCATGTGTTCTTTTTCTTTAGGCCAGCTGGCCCCTGGGGGATCACTGTTCATTTAGCCTTTGAATGTTGGCCTTAGTATTTTCTATTAGCCGCTTCCTGCTCGAGGAACTAACACTGAGTTCCCTAGAGAGTCGTCTTGGGGTGCGGTGGCCTCTGTGGTGCTCTAAGTCATCCTCAGTGCTGTGGGTTGAATTGTGACCCCCAAAAAACTCTGTTGAAGTCCCAGCCCATGGAACCTGTGAAAGCAACTTTGTTTGGAAATAGAGCCCTTGCAGATGTAAGTAGTTGAGAACTGAGATGAGATGATACTGGCCTAGGTTGAACCTAAACTCAATGTCTTATGTCCCTATAGGAAGAGGAGAGGACATTCAGAGACAGACACAAAGGAAGATGGCTGCGTGATGCAGAGGCAGAGGCTGGAGGGATGTGTCTACAAGCCAGGGGACCCGCGGATAGTGGAGAACCACCAGAAACCAGGAAGAGGCAGGAAGGACCCGCCCCTAGAGCCCTTGGAGGGGGTGTGGCCCTGCCGACACCTTGATCTTGGACTTCCAGCCTCAAACTGTGAGAAAACAAATTTCTGTTGTTTAAATCACCCTGTTTGTTCTACTTTGTTACAGCAGCACTGGGAAAGGAGTACCCCAGGAACCTCAGCCCAGCCCATTTCCCTCTCCTCAGTCCTAGGGCAGATGTCCTGAAGGCTTGAGACATTGCAGAGATCCAGAGAGAGTGAAAGAGAAGGTGGCCCCCACCCAGGTCCCCTTTACTGTACTGGTTCCCCTGCTGCTCTGAGTCTGGGCTGCTGACGGCTCAGAGCCTCTCTCCTCTCTGAGAATTGCCCTCCATGGAAGGGAAGCTGCTGCACGCAGGAGGTTTGGCATCATCTCTGATGGGGAGGGCAGCCCACAGCTGCCCGACAGACATGGGGATGCTCCCTTGCCTCGAATGGGACTGCTCTGTGATGCTGTTCGTGCTCCAGGGCTCCACGGGTCAGGCTGAGGGCTCTCCGGCGGAGACCACGTCATCCCTTGTCTGCTTCTGCGGCCCTGTCCTCTCCCTCCTCCCTTCTCCTCCAGCCCTCCACTGCCCCCGGGTCCCTGTCTCAGGCTTGGCTTTCAGGGAAGCTGACCTGAGACACCAGATCATGACTCCTGGAGGGCAAAGACTCTTCTCTGTGGATCTAACTGTCTGGATAAGCCATGGCTTAAGGCAGTGATGCTCAGATTTAGTGCCTGGGGACCACCTGCAGAGCTGCTTAAGCACAGCTTCCTGGGCCTAACTCCAGAGATTCTGATTCAGTGAGTCTGGGGTGGGGCTTGAGAATCAGAACTTATAACACCTCCCAGGTGCTGCTGCTGATCCAAGGACCTTGCTTCAAGACTCGCTGGCCTAAGGTGTGCAGAGTGCTGGAAACTCATTTCGTCTTGGCAAGACTGGTGGCCTGCGAGGGCAAGTGTGCCCGGAGAGGTTTGCAGAAATTAATGTGCACGTGGGATTTTTGAGGTTGGCAAAGAATAGAAAGAGTGTGTGATGGGTGGAGTGTTGGTAGAAAGCGAAGAAGCCAGTCTGGTGTGTTTTTGAAGGTTGGTTCCCTGGCCCAGCCTCTCAGCCTGTGTCTGAGCCAGGAGGAATGAACATCTGTGGGCAGAAGCTGTTGGCCTGGAGGTCTCTATGAGACTGAGGGGCCCCCAAAGTCATTCTACTGGGCAAGAAACAAAACTTGACTCAGAAAAGAGGAGTGGGCATTCTCCTGTGTGTCTGTGTGTATGCACCTACATGTGTGTATGCATGTGTGTGTACACCCACATGAGTGTATGCATGTGTGTGCATGTGTGCACACATGTGCAGTACAGCCTTTTTGAGTGCTTTCTGCTTTACCAGAAAAGACAGAGCCATCAACAGCAGCAGCAGCTCTCAACACACTGGCCAAGACCGCCCTACCTGACACACACATGATAATCATTTCTACTTGAATTCTTCCTTCTTCCGTAGAGCAATCTATTTTTGTATGAGGGCCCTGGCCTCCTCATTTGGGGTTCCTGGCAATTTTGGGTTTGCTCTTTCCAACCTTGCTCCCCTGCCTGGCAAAGTCCCACGTTTCATCTCGCTCTGCCTTTCCCATGTCAATGACACAGAGGGAAGTTTTGAATCTCCTCCGCTTTCATTGTTCTATTCACCTCTCTCTGATCGTTTGTTTTGTGCTATCAATATTCTACTTTGCAGAGAGGGGATTTGAATTCTTCTGGTTCTTTGTTCACAGACAAACCTGGGCCCAGAGCCACTACATCTCTGCAGCCGACACATTGTTTGCGCTGTGCCATTTGCCAGCAGGTGGCAGGGTGTCCATCCTTCTCGTTTTTATGGTAGATGCTAGGATTGTGCTGCAAGTGCCGATCCATCCTCGTGTGCGCCTTCTTCTCTTATACAAGTCACAAGGAAGATGCTTTAGGTTCAGGGCCTGAGTTAATCACATTTCTGTTTCGGCACATTCTCATCGTCTTTCTGTCTGGGATGCTGCTCCCTTTTCATCAGCTCTCTCTCCATCACCCTGTCGTCCATAGGTGCCTAGTCTAACCTGTTCCATTAGTGTTTGTGTCTGCAGTAGATGCTGATGGCGCCCCACCCAGACCCCTCCCCAGGTGGAGTACCTGGCCCCCTGCCACTGTGAGTGCCAGCTGCTGACAGCTCTAGCTGCTCCATTGTTTGTGCTGCGGGGCGGGGGGAGCTTCCTGGCTGAGTTTAAACGCCCCTGGGGTAGGTGGAGCCCCAGCCTGTGGATGTCTTATAAAGGGTACAAAAGGCCAGCCCCTTGCCTCAAGGTGGGGTGAATGCTGCCAGTGAGGCTCTTCCCCAGAGCCCATATGACTCTTTCTAGACTTTCCCCAAGCCCACATCCTCGCTGAGCTCCCTTCTATCCTGCTTCCTCACCCCCTCCTCCTGAACGCCCTCCCTCAAAGCAGCTCTCACATCTGAATCTGGTCTCAGGCTCTGCTCAGGGACCCAGATTAAGATGGTGTCCGCATAGAATGTGCAGTGTTGCTTTGTGTGTGTGTATTTTAGCTGACTCAAAGAGAGTTGCTCTACCAACTTGTGCCCTTTCTCTGTTTCCACGTAGCACTGTCTACCTGAGATCTATCCTTGTGCTCTGTGTTCACCCAGTCAGCTGCTGCTTTCTGCCACATGCCTATTCTGTGGCGCGTGCCGCAACATTCTGAGTGAGAAACAGAGTGCCTCTTCCTCTGCATGGTCACAGGCAAGACCTCAATGGACACCCTTGTACATGGCCCTTGGGGCCCATGTGGTGATTGCAGGGAGTGGATCCTGAGTCCCACGCATGTGCAGATGTAGCTTCATGGCATCCTACACACTGCTCCCCCAGGGGCACAGCAGCAACATGCACGTGTTCCTGTCTCCCCACATCCTCTCCAACATTGGGGAGGGTCCTCCCTCCCAAGTTTTTCCATTCTGGTGTTGGTTTTCCATTGTTTTGTTTTTGTTTCCATTGTTAGCAACTTTTAGCGTCTCTCCATATACTTGTTGGCTATTTGTGCCTCCTCTTTTGCAAACCACCTACTATTTTTTCCTAATTTAAAGAACTTCTTTGTTTATTCTAGACATTAATCCCTTGTTGTTTTATACAGTGAGACCATCTTGTTTGAGTGGGCCATCTGTCTCTTTTCCTTGTTTATTGCATCCTTCATTGAGCAGAAATCCTTAAGAGCTGCCACCTTATGCTCTCGTGGTTGTATGGAGATTTTGATGAAATAGCTCATTTATATTTCACTTGCCCCTTATCACAGTCTTCAAACAGGACTCAGGCGTGAGTCCACAGGGACCTGGGTTAAGGCACACTTAGAGTTACAGAGACCATTTTCACACAAAATCACGCTCACTTTCATACTCCCCCAGAGATCCAGAGTTTGCACCCTGGCCCTCTCTTCCACGAGCTTGAGTTCTTTTTGAGAGTTTTTCAGTCTCTCAAGCACAGGGACCCCAGGTGGGCCACCTCCTTGAAACTTAGAGGTGCCTTGACTCGCTTGAGCTGCACAGAAAACGCGTGTTAGCATGCCAGGCTTGTGCCCACACTACAATGGAAACAATGCGAGTTTAATTCCTCGGCAGACCCTCTTGAGAGGAACTTTTCATCTTTGTGCAACTCAATGGGTCCCCAGTCGTACACTGCTGCTCTTATGGTAAGCAAGCAATATTACAGCAAACACCCAGGTGGATACGCAACGCTGAGCGGCAGCATCCACATTCGGAGGGCTGAGAAGGAAGGTTTTTTATTTAGTGGGGTCCTTTTGGGGCTCCTGGTGGGATCTCAGCAGAGGATTGGGTGCCCCGGTAGGTTGATGCTCTGAGGAAGGAGAATTGAGAGGATGACCACGGTTCCTACATGAATGATGGCGAGAGGCCCACATAGTAGGTTCTCAGGGCAGTGGGCACAGATACTGGGACCTCTTTTTCCTCTGAGCGGGTAGTTCTTCCAAGGCTTAAACCTTAGAAGATGTCTCAAATGTCCCTGAACTCTGTAGTCCTGATTTACAAATTGGAAGAAAAGTGTCTATCAGTGGGGCATCTGGGGTCATGGAGAGGACCCTCCTTGAGTTAATCTTGACTGAAATGGCCAATGAAATGTGATGACTCAAACCTATTGACATAAGGCTTTCTTCTACTCTTCAGTAGCACTTTTTTGTCACTTATGTCGGTGTTTCTGGTCCCACATTTCCGATCTCATGCTAAGTCTTGTCCCAACACCTCCTCTTCCCAGTTTACTGTCCTGTGCCTTATTCTGTACTGATTATTGTGGTGAATCCAATTAGATGTCAGTTCTCGTCCACTATATATTCAAGGCGTGTTTGAATGAAGGCAGGATTTTGACTACCCATTTTAGGATAAGACCTGAATGATGCTTACTAAGGAAAGTCTACAGATCCCTGGATGTCCTTTTCTGCTCAGTTTCACTGGAACATTCACTCTCCTTGATTTGATATGGATAAGCGGTAATTTTGTACTGGCATGATGCTCCAAATAGTGGGGTACCAACCTATTAGTTGTGTGGGTGTTAGTTTTAAGGGTTTCTTAATGAGAATGAGAATTTTTACCCAACTAAACCACTCACTTTGCTAATCTCAGGAATTTTCAGTCTACGTCTATTGTAAATGCATTAAGATCGGTAAGGGATAAGAGCCTAGCAGAACTCTTTTTTTCAAAGCCATGCTGGTCTTTTCTTCTACTTTTCTAGGTTGATGTAGACTGACGTCATAGTGATTCTCCTCCCAGGGTCATTCTTAGCGAAGTAAGTGAATTTATGCACACAACAACCACCCAGGCTACTGGCTATGCCGGGTAGTAATGACCATGGGGGAAGGGAAGAACTCAGGGCTACATTTTTTTTTTTTTATTGTGGTAACATCGGTTTACAACATTATATAAATTTCAGGTGAACATCAATGTATTTTGATTTCTGTGTAGATTGCGTCATGTTCACCACCCAAAGACTAATTATCATCCCTCACTGTGCACATGTGCCCTATCACCCCCTTCTCCCTCCTCCCTCCCTT